AACAACTTCTATTGATACTTGTAAGATGCTTTCTTTTTTATTTATTTTGATTCAGATTGTTAAGTTTTGTCTTATGAATAAGTATTTTGGGTTAAGCTTTTCTCTTATGGTGTAGATGCCCGGTTGTATTAAGAAGCTCAGTTTTGGGATTTTCAGATTTTTATTTGGTTGCAGACTTGTAGATGGAATATTTATGAGCTGATTTTAATTTTTGCTTGGGGGTGTGAACTATATGGGATGATTGATTCCATTTCAGTAAAGTGAATAACAATCAATGGTATATGCGTTTGTTAGTGTTAGTTCTTGTTCCAAGTATATACCTTATTTGTTTATGCATAGAATTTAATCAACTTGGTCTAAAAAACTGGAAGTTTTCCTTGGAATTGAACTAAATCATAGTAGAATCAAACAGCTTCTGTAAAGTAACAAGACTATCAAATCTTTAACTTTAGTTCATGTATTAATTCTCTCAAAATATTCAGCTTTTAGTTGAATATTTAGATATTTAATGTTTGTAATGCCTTTATTTTAAATCAAATGGCTATGCATTCTCAGAGTCGATGCATTTCACTATTATAGATATCAATACAGTCCCTAACTTTGCAAACTAAGTTATATTTGCAGTGTAGAACCGACCTTGTCTGATAGAGTTTTTATATCCCAACACTAAAACCACTAAACAGTTTTGTCAATGTATATTTTTAAAAGAACCACCGTAGATTTTAATTACTATAACATCTCATTTTAATTACTAATTTGATGATTATTGTTTTAATGAGTTTATTGCAGATCAAATGGATACAAATTCTACCAAATGAGCCACCAAAGGTAAAGTCAAATAAGAGGAAGACTCCTAGAGTTATGGAGCCACCAAAGGTAAGTTCTACCAAATGTCACATAGTGTTGTGACAGTCAATTATGATAATCTTACTACCATTTTACTATTTAATGTCAATTTATTATAAATTTTGATATCAGTTCTGTTTACTTTGGGCATCTACAACCATCCTTGCTGATCCATTAGAATCATATTGACTTATTCTAATTATCTGTATAAACTTGTTTTTTGTTAAGTTTTGAGATTTTAATTAATAGGGAAAACTATCAAATAAGCCTCCTAACATTACAAATAAATCAATTAGACCCCATACTAAAAGTTCACCCAATTAAACCCCTAAACTCATTTAAAAATTGACAATCCTCCTTTTAGTAGGTACTCTACCATTTATCCGGTTATTTGCCTATTTGGTGTGTGATGTGGCATTTTTTATTTTCTATATTTTCATTTTCTTTTTATTCATTTTCTTTTTATTCATTTTCTTTTTCTTTCCTTCCCATTTCCCTTTCTTCCCTGCGCCTTCTTCCCTCCCTGCGTCTCACAGTCTCTGCAACTTCTTCCTTCTTTATTTCTTTCTTTCTTCCCCATTTTCTTCTTCAGCCAGTGTTTAGCTCGTGGTTTCCCGACCTTCACCCTCTTCCCTGCGCCTCTTCTCTACCGTTGACTACGGTATACACCCGAATTGAAGATACGGATCTGGGAGTGGTCTGGAGGCTTCAAGAGCACCGTCGCCGACTTTCTGGCTCAGAATCTTCAACGGAGCATCTTCTCCGACTTCCAATCCATCGAATCGTGGAAAGGGGAAGACTGTCGTGCGAGTACTTGAGCATCTCCGGCGAAGCAACAACTTGGATTCCTCTTGGACTCTGTCCAGTGCAGCGCCGACGGAAGACCAATCATTTGCTTGGCAGAAGAAAGAAGAAAGGGTCGGTGGAACTAGGGGTGGGCAAAAATACCGAACCGGCATGGTACCGAACCGAACCGATATGGTACCGGACCGAAAAACGGGGTTTGAAACGGATCTCAATTTTTTTGTCCCAAACCGAACCGTACCGATTCTAAACAATGCCATGACCGGTTCTCATAAAATGAGAACCGAAACCGGACCGAAGTATGATTTAATTATTTAAATTTACATTTATACCATTATTTTGACTGGTGCCTTTACATTTTCACCGTCTTTGCTAGTTCATAGGAAACCTGGAATCGGACCGATGTATGGTTTAATCATTTAAATTTGTACTACTATAATTTATCTGAAATTTATTAATTATGTAATACTACCTTCGTCCCAAATTGATTTGCAAAATTAATTTTTTTGTCAAACAGATTCATTTTATTCACTTAACTAGAATGTCAATTTTTAATTATATTTAATTTGGAGCTTGCAACTTTGAAGAAATTTCAATGTAGTTTCTGAATATGTTTATTTTAATTATTAAAAATTGAAGTAATTATCAATGAAGAGAATTTAACTCTAACATTGGTTGACCAAAAAATATTGACTTTGCATGTCAATTTGGGATGAAATGAGTATGAAAATTGATAAATTGTGTAGATTTTTGGAGGATGACTAAACTTTAATTGTTTCTTAAACACTTGGAAAAAGTGGCATTGTTTGGTATTGGTATGGCATAGTACCGTCCCGTTTCAAAATGAAACCGTACCGAACGGGTTTAGGTCTAAGACCGAACCGAACCGAACCATTTGAATAGTAACGGTACGGGTACGGGTTCGGCGAAATATTGGACCGGACCGGACCGCGCCCACCCCTAGGTGGAACTTTGAAGGAGAAGAAAGGGGGAGGCGGAAGTTTGGGATAGAACGGGCTGGTGGAATGAGAAAGAAGGTGGAGGAAAAGGAAAAAAGAAAGGAAAATGAAAAAGAAAAAGGGAAAAAAATTAAAAAGCCACGTGTTTTGCCATCTGTGCATAGTAATCGGTAAACTATTCACTACCGGTAAAAAGGGAAGATTTGATATTTTTATGGAGTGTTTGCAATAGCTTAAAAAAACACTTCTCAGTTTTTGGCTTAAAAAGTACGAGTACTTATTTACCAAACATTACCAATTTTTACATTTTTCTGGGCTTGCGTGTGAAAAGTGATTTCCCTTTTTCTATTACAAAAAAACACTTAATTTACCAAACACTACCAACTTTTACTTTTCAAAATAATTTTTTTCTGAAACACTATCAACTTTTACTCTTTATCATTTTTTCCCAATCACTCAAAGTGTTTTTTACCGAAATTATCCTAAATAGGAGTAAAACATTGACGGAGTTCCTAAATAGGAGTTTAAGCTTTTTATTCCCTAAATAGGAGTTTTTTATCCCTAATATACCTTATATACCCTTCTATTAATTAAAACCCATATTCCCCAAATCCATTCACGATGCTCGGCTTCCAGATACTTCGCCGCCCAAATCGATCAGATAACCCAAGTCTCCATCTTCTTCCTTCACCACCACAACTGCCACTACCGCCCACCGTTGCTTCTCCTCGCCGGTAAGCCTTCCCCATCGCTGCAACAGGTTAATCCTCCTCCTCCTTCTTCTTTCTCGTCTTATTTCTCTTCTTCTTCTCCTCCTCTTCATTTTCCTTTGTTCTCTCTGTTTTCATCTTCTTTTGATTATTTATTTCAATCAATGATTTTGTTTCATTTTTTCATATTCTAAATTGAATATTTATGATTTACGTTTTAGATCTGCAAAATTGAGATCTGCAAAATGATTTTGAATATTTATTTCAATTAAAATTGAATATTTTTCATATCAATGATTCTGAATAATATTTATTTCAATCATTCAAATATTTTCAATGATTATGTTTTCATATTTTAGATCTGCAAAATTGAGAACGAAAATTCAAGGATTCAATGTTTTAGATTCTTACTTTATTTATGAATAATGTCATTTGTATACATGGCACTACCTTTTATCAAGATGACACTAGCTGTTTTGAAAAACAAGATGCCATGTTCTTGAAATGTGAAAAGAAATTTGCCTTTTTTACCATCCCTTTTATCCCTTTCCAAAACCCTCTCCCCCTCCCCCACTTTTCTTCTCCTTCCCTCCCTCTCTCCTCCATCTTTTCTTTTCACGCAGCCCCCCCATCCCCTCCCCTTTCTCTTTTCTCCAAATTTTGATTTCTTCTCCATTTCAAGATCTCTCCCCATCAAATCTTCTCATTTTTACAATCTTTTCTTCCTCCAAGCTTCTTCTCCTGCTTCTCTCCTCTTCTGCCTTTTTTTTCGTTTCAAATGAAAGATCTACAGTATTCGGACGAAGGGGAGAGCTCGGTGACGTGGGGAGACAATGACGAAAGTGCAGATCAAGAAGCTTCGAATGACTTGAGCAGATCTACTTTTCTTGATTTTTTCATTTTTTGGTGTGTTTTCGAAAAAAAGGGTTGCCTTCACTGACAGACAACTTGTAAGTGCAGTGTCTGTATTTGTTAGTCTAGGAGAAGAGTATGTTGTTTTTCGTCATTTGTTTGTATTTTGTTTGGCGGACAGACAATTTGGAACTGCAGTGTTTGTCTAGTATAAAGTGAACGTGTTTTCATAGTTGCTTGAAGTGAACGTGGTTTTATAGTTGTTAAAGTCGTACATAAAATGTGTGTGTGGTCAGACAACTTTAAATGTATGTGATTTTGTTTGGAAACATGGTTGTATTGGTAATGTAGTTTTTATATAAATGTGTGTGCCTTTTTTTGAAACATGGTTGTTCGTTAATGTGAAGACAAAGGTGGTGAATGAATTACATATGTAGTCTCTACAAGGAGAAGAGTAGGGTTTCCTGTTAGAATAAGGACTACTCTCTGTCTTACAGCCAGACATATTTTGTCATGGCCAGACATTAGTAGTCTAGGACAATTAACTACTCTCTGTCCTACAGCCAGACAAATTTTGTCTTGACCAGACATTAGTAGCCTGGGCCACATTCTCCCGACTTGTAGACAGACAACTCAGAAGAAAGGCCAGACATTTTATATCTCATTACAGACAATTTGTTGCAATACATTGGTAGAGAAGTCAATTCCCATGACAGAAAACTACAACCCAATTTGAATGAATTCCAAACGACATGCAAGACAATTCAAATGGGTTGCCTGAGAACTAATTTTACCTGACAGACAACTACAAAACTATTTTCTACAATTTAAAATAAACTGACAGACAATTCAAATGTCTCGCCAGACAACTACTTTCACATGACAGACAACTATAAACCAATTTTAAACAATTGGATTTAACGTACCAGACAACTAATATGCCTTGCCAGACAACTACTTTCACACGACAGACAACTATAAACCAATTTTAAACAATTCAAAATAAATTGACAAACAACTCCAAACCAATTACATAATATTCAAAATACCATGACAGACATCTCAATATTATCACAGAGTAGTCTAAATATACACAAGTACTTCATAATTTCACCAGACAGACAACAATTTTCACATTACAGACAAATCAAATGGAATGCCAGACAACTCTTTTCACTAGAATTTGAAGCTAACAGATCTGAACCAAAGCTAACAGATCTGAACCATCACATATATGTTTCGAAGTTATGGTCACTAGAATTTGAAGGTTTTGAACTGAAATTACAGGTTGTTGGAGAAGGTGTGGAAGGTTTTTAAATCTGGCCGGCACTGAAATTACTGGGACAGCGGTCAGGTGTCGCCGGAGAAGATGACCGGCTTTCCGGGCATCAGTTCCGCCTGCCGTTACATAATCCGGCTACTGTTAGATCTCCGCTCCTGCTACCTTGTCGTTGCCGCTGGGGGTCACCGGGGCCTGACGCCTGACGGGGGTTTGGGTGGTGTCCGGCTGGGTTTTCCGACTTCCCACCGGAGCTGCTTGGGTGTTCGCCGGAAGCAAGCAGGGGGGCTTAATTGAGGGAAATGAAAGGGAGATGAAAGGGAGAGGGGCTGGCTGGAAAAGAGGGAGATGAAAGGGAGATAAGGGGGAAGGAAGATGAGGGAGTGGGGGTAAATTTTTGGGAGGGTATTTATATGGGGTAGGAAATGGGGTAAGTATGGGGGTACCTATATAAAATTTCATGTGAAAATAGAGGTTCTCAAAAAATGTCATTTTACAGTGTTCCCTCTATCAACATGACAATAACCCTAAAAGTACGATACTCACAGTGCCATATTTTTTATTAACAAAATGTCACTTTGCCATGATTTCTTTATATAACATTATCAAGATGGCAATATTGCCTTTGATTTTCTCGTTTTAGCTTAAAGTGCCATTGTATCTACAAAAGTGTCATCTTGTTATCTGAAATGTCATCATCTTTTGTATTTGTGAGTGCCATATTTTTATTTATGTGAATGCCATTATTTTGTGTTTGTATTTAGAGATCTAACTGCAGAGTGAGATGATGTAGTTTTTTTTTTAGACACCATGGAGGCGGTCAAAAGGTGATGGCGGCGGCTCCTTCAAGGAGGTGGCGGCAGAGGCAGATGCTTCTTGGAGTGGCGCCGGAGACTCCCTAGAGGTGGAAGTAAGCGGCAGTATTTTCCAGAGGTGGCGGCGGCGTTTTCCGGAGGTGGCGGCGGCGTTTTCCGGAGGTGGCGGCGGTATCTCCCTGGATGTGGCGGCGGCATCTCCCTGGATGTGGCGGCGGCAGCAACTCCCGACCTAGAGGATGGCCTGGCAGCGGGTGTGGATCAACTTGGATGAGGGCTCCATTCTACCAAGGATTCCTTTTTTTTAATTAAAACTGTAATATACGGAGTACTCCTTAATTCGTTAAGGGTAATTTGGTCCACTCAGTAAAACTTACTCCTATTTGTGAACTACAAACATTGAACTCCTATTTGTGAACTTATTCAATGTGTTTACTCCTATTAAGGGAATTACCCCTTTTTTAAGCAAAAGCTGTAACACCGGACCCGAATTTTACTGTGAGAATTTTTTTCCATCAAGTACTGAGTTAAAGAAGGTAAATCAAGACTAAGAATAGTTTTGATAAATGAGAAAGTAAAATTTTGTCTTAAATTAATAAAGGGTTATTAATTTTGACGTGGAACCTCTCGTGATATTCTAAGTTTATTTATAAAATATTAATGTTTACCAAAATGATATTATTATGATAGTAGGGATGGGTCATGGACCCCAGTGATATAAAGAACGACAACTAGATGGCCAAGCGGGCCGGGGTCACTATCCGATAATTGTGAATCATTAATTATCGGACCGATAATAATTCGGAAGTCTACGAATTAATAACAGAAGGAATATAAATATTTTAAGAACCCAAAACATGGGATGATGAATAATAATGAGCAACTTGACATGTTAGAGGTGGGTACTTTTGGAGGACCCTACCTTGAAGATATTTTTGTATAAGAATAAACAGATAAGATTTTATCTGCTTATACAGTTGGGACCACTTAAAAAATAAGTGTGACATTTTATTAAAGTGTCACAAAATATGAAAACACATATTTAGTCATTAGGAATGATGAATGAATTTTCAAAGTAACTTATTCTCATTTTTTACCGCTACTTGAACGGTAAAAGGCACGTTGGGCCCACACATAGGCGGGGACCATCCGATATTTACGGACCACATATTATATTCATCTTGGTTTAGATAATATTTATATGATGGTTTAAATTAATGTGAGCCATAAAGTTGGCCTTTCAATAAAACGGGGGTCCCATTATCGGTATAGTTAATTAATCAGATAACAGCCCGAAATAAATTCCGGGGACCACTAAATTGAAGTTGGGTAATATATATTCATTTTAGAGTCCAATATTAATTGGAAAAATGATATATATTTTACTTAACCCGATAAAATAAAATATAATTAAAACAGTCCAGAAAATACAACTTTCGGGGCCGAATGTACACTTCGGGACATATTGGGATGACCTCCCACACGAGTGGGGGCCACCCCACGTTTTTGAGTCTAAAAATAAGTGATGAGATTATGAGAGTGAGGTGTGTGATGTGTGAGGGGATGGGAGAGACACACATGATAGGTAAAGGGACCCTCCTCCCATTATTATGACATCTAAGACCAAATAGGAAGGTCTCCTCCACCTCCCCCCTACCCACTTCGGCCATACCACCCAAAATAGAGAGAAGAAGTCTCCAACATCTCATGTCCATGTCCAAGAACCGAGCTCAAGAATTGAGGGGACTCAAAGAAGAAGAAAAGCTAGTATAAGTGAGGAAAAACTTGGAAAATCAAGGTAAGGACTTCATTATTATTTTTCCTCCATTTTAATCTCATATGATTTTATAAATCATATGATAGACTTTTAAACTTGTTCTACACTTCTAGAGGTGTAGAATGAGGGTTTGAAAGATTAAGTTTAACCATAAACGGAGTTATGACCGGAGTAAGACCGGTTCACCGGAAAACACCTTCTCGGAAGGTTTTGATGTTTATACCACTTTTGGTTTATGAAACCTTGTTAGGTCTTTTACCAAGATATTCTAGACTTCTCAAGGAATCCAGGAGTGGCCGGAAAAGTCACCGGAGGCGCCGGAGTTTTCGCCGGAAAATTCAAAAAGTCGCCGGAGTTCGAACAAAGAAGATAAAAGCTTGCTAGCGTCATTTCGAGGTGAGTGGACGACTACGTGTCTTGTAACTCTTGGTTCGAAACGTGGGGTTACCTAAATAAAATCATAACCATGATTTGAGAAATGATTAAATGTATTAAAATGCATGATTAGTCATGGTGAGTATGGCTAATGAAAAAAAATAGATTAATTTATTAATTAATCATGAATATATTTTTCTCAAATATATAAGAAGGTATATTTGGACCATGCATGAAACTAACTAGAGTAATGTAGTACATGAATATATGAAAAGATTTGTGAACTTATGATTATCCATACTAAATATGGATTATGAAAATATTATATGATTAATGAAAAATAGATTAATTTATTAATTAATCATGAGTATATTCTCTTAAATGAATAAAAAGGTATACTTGAACTATGTATGTGATTAACTAGAATTATCTAGTAAGGAAATATAAAAAAGATATGTGATCTTGTGATTAGCCATATTAATTATGGATTATGGAAGTATGACATAATTAATGATTAATCAATTAATGGTGGGAATAAAAGGTTGTAAGAAAGGATCATGAGTCATGCTTTGGGCTTGGGCATGAGATTACTCAAATAAATCAGAATGATATTCCATGAAATGTTAAAATACATCTAAGAATTTATCAAGGCAATATTTACTTATTAATGGTATTAATAAGTATACTTTATATGCTTTAATTTGGACAGAAAATGATTATAAATTATGTGTGATGATTTGGAAGTCCAAAATGATATTTTTGGACTAAGAATGACTTGTTAGATAAGTGTATAAAATTTCGTGGAAATCGGACTCCGTTTGGATGGTCAAACGAGAGTTGACCAACGTTTTCGGCCGTTGACCGAGTGTTGACCGGCGCCGGTTAGGGGACGTCCGGCCCCGGTTCAACACAGGCGGTCTCGGCCTTTGGGGGGTGGCAATGTCCGGCGCCGGTTGGGAAGGGTCTGGCGCCGGTTACGTGTATTTTTGCCGGCCAAATGAAGCAAATCCGGCGCCGGTGGACTGATGTCCGATGCCGGCTTGACCGGTTTTCCGAGTAATGCATGCCTAGGTCCGGCGCCGGTTGGGGAATGTCCGGCGCCGGTCGGAGCTACTTAATTCCGAACAATGAATTCGAGCGGGTAGTCGGTGCGAGGCTAGCCCGTGGGTTGATAGCTTAAGTTGGGTACCAACTTTAAAATTATATTTGACCTATAGTTGACCGAGGGTTATCACGACTAAGGTCGGTAATGTAATTGTTAAGTTTAAATGTCTCGATTAGTAATTTGGGTTCTGGCGGGACCCGACACTAGTTGTATGAGCATGACTTGGACCCGGAGCGGTCCATTCATGGTTTGAGGTAAGAGGGAAGCCTTGGTAAAGGTCAGCCCTAAGTTGATTTGAGTATGATGATACAAACTATATTGTTAAGGAACTTGCAAGGCAAGATAAGGTAACAAGGGCAAATGTAGTCCTTGAGGTGTGTTTAACCTCCAGTAAAGTACACATAGGTAACAAGGGCAAATGCAGTCCTTGAGGTGTGTTTAACCTCCATCAAATTGCATATAGGTAACAAGGGCAAATGCAGTCCTTGAGGTGTGTTTAACCTCCATCAAATTGCATATAGGTAACAAGGGCAAATCCAGTCCTTGAGGTGTGTTTAACCTCCATCAAAGTGCATATAGGTAACAAGGGCAAATGCAGTCCTTGAGGTGTGTTTAACCTCCATCAAATTGCATATAGGTAACAAGGGCAAATGCAGTCCTTGAGGTGTGTTTAACCTCCATCAAAGTGCATATAGGTAACAAGGGCAAATGCAGTCCTTGAGGTGTGTTAACCTCCATCAAAGTGCATATAGGTAACAAGGGCCCGTGTAGTCCTTGAGGTGTGTTAACCTCCAGTAAATTACACATAGGATGGGGGTGTATACGTACCCCTCGAGGCGGGGTTAACGCGGAAATGAAAACTATGATAGCAAGGACGGATAGTCCTCGAGGTAGGTGAACCTCGAAGTAATGATTTTAAATGATTAAACGTGCTTGATCGGGAACGAGTTTCCGATATAATATTTTCCTTGGTCTAGGGATTGATTTAAACCATGTCCGTGATATGGAAGTCCGAAGGGCCCCACAGTAATTATATTTTGGTATCGAGTGAGTTAGCCTGCGGGTGACTCCACTCGAGGGTAAGACATGGGAAGAGTGAATTTAATGAGGCTGTTACGCCTAAATGATTTGAAAGACAAATGGGCCCACGGGCCAGATATTTTACTCATATGTATATATGTATACATTTTGTTTTGAAAAGGGGTAGCTAAGAGTTATGCCCATAATTATACTATCACCCTATTTTGAGGGTCTCACGTGAGAAACGTTAGTTACATTATATACAGTTTGCCTTCACCAGTACTTTTCTGTAGTACTGATCCCTCGGGGGAACCACCCTTTCAGGTTGAAGCTAGAGCTTACTTCCTGCACCCGTTGCTCGGGAGATCGATGGAGAGAAGACGTGATTCGTGCTTCCTCTCGTTCTATTTTTAAATAATTAAATAATGCTCATGGAACTATTTTCACTTATAAATTAATGGAGCCTGCGAGCTCTTGTTTTACCCTTGTGTGGGTTCTTACTAAACACTTATATTCCGCTATGTGTTTGATTGAATGTTGATGTTGTTGTTATGTATGTTTACTAATCGGTTTTGGCATATGTATCTTTCGGACGTCTTGTATAATTCGGTAAGAATGAACTGCGGTTATTCTTATTGGGTTGTACGACGGTTGTCCACGTGAAACAGACGCGGTCTGGGGCGTGACAAAAGCAGTTGCAAACACTCCCTTAAATGACTTCAAGGGTTTAGTTGAATGAACTTTAAGTAAGGGGGTTTAATTGATTTTTTTGAAAAATTGGGGGGCTTATTTGATAGTTTTTCCTAATTAATATGTGAACAATGATGTTTCATCTGATTGTATAGATGAATGAAGTTTTTTTTATCATTGAATGAAGATATATTATTGAAAGGTTACTGTATTTTTAGGAACCGATAAAAAGAAAGAAACGAACCGTTAAGATTTGGTTCGATTCCTTAACAGTTCTACAAGTTTTTAACTACAACCGAACCAATATTAAGAGTTACTTATTCCTTAACAGTTCCATCAATTTTGGATAAGAACCGAACGGGTCTCAGACTTAATTTCATGTAGATGGATTAAGATATGCATTTTTCTTGAGGGAAAAAATGAGATATGCATTGGAAATAAAAAATTCCGTTCATAACTCAAATTTCAAGTGGAAAGTAGATGAGTTTGGTCTCCTTTTATTTGTATTTTCATAGCTAAA